TCTCAGGAGAAAATAAAATTGTAAAGGAAATCCAGAAATCTGAAGATGAGAGCACTTATCCGCTCGAGTCTGGGAACTAAACCCCGGGATTGACACAAAGCACACTCAAGTCCGGGCGTCCGTTTTCTGAACCTGTTTCACTTACCCTCCATCTGGAGATGGATATCCAGGAAAGGAAATGCCCACTGAGCAAAAAGAATGAACATGACTGATCACCCGGTTTGTGCCAGGCGCTATGCTAAGTGCGGGGATAAAGAGGTAAGAGTGCGGGTCTCTGCCCTTCTTCTGGGTGATGGCTGTTTGCTTTGCTATGGAACTGGAAGCGGGGTGGAGGGGGGAGATTCCTTTTTCCAGCTGCAAAACAGGACAGTGTCTCTCATTGTCTCCTGATCAGAACAGGTCCTGTTTCAAACCCGAGCACTGAACGGAGGTTCTACAAGCAACGAGGGCCTTCTGAGCTTCCTTCTGGAATGTCGCTGAGGAGGCACAATCTTTACCAAGTGTGAATCGCGGCCAGTCGAGGGACGGGACTCCTCCGCTACAAGCACAAGCCACATGCCCAGTGTGCAGTTCGACATCTCGCAGCTTTGGAGCCCCTCAGAAGCCAAGTGAGGCATGTGGTCTGTGTGGAGTTAGGAACATAAGCCTCCGCTGATTTTCTCGCTGCTTTTCTTAGAAGCTGCCCCCTTCCCACACAAGTGAACACAAAATGATCAAACACAACACATTTCCGCATGAATCAGAAAATGAGAACGCAGCAAAAAGTGTGTGCACGCCGGGGACGGGGCGGGGTAGGGGAGGTGGGAGCAGTGCAGGGAGCTGATATAGACAATCGGAGTCCCAGGCTGTCCCGATCTCTTGGGAGCAAGTCACGGGGACCAAGTGACCCTCTCTGGGTGTTAAAAGCCCAGAGAGAGGAAAGTACCATCAGGAATCCTGTTCACCGGCCCACCCTGGAGGCCCTGCACCGGCCCCTCTCTCTCTCCTGTGATGGGTGTTGGGAACTGACAGAGTCCGGCAGAGTACCAGGCCCACAGTCTACTGAACCGCCATCCAACCCTGCAGGACAGCTCGCTGGCTCTGGGCTCTGGGCTGTGGCCAGAGGAAAGCCTGTTATTTGGAAGAAGGAGTTTAAAAATCATTGTACGGGGACCCTTCCAGATTTCCCAATGCTTCCATTCAGTCTGTAACAGGACATGCCCCTGAGGATGAGGGCCGAGCTCAGGTCTGAGTGAAAAACACACGCCCCCCCCCCCATCCTCCGGCATCTCGGGTGGGTCTTGAGCTCTCTGAAGAGGAGGGTAGCCTTCCTCATTTCCCAAGCGAGTCTCACTCACCCCGGGTAAGCGTCAGGAGAGCGAACATTTACGAGCATTGAGTACGGACCAGGAGCTGAGCCCAGTGTCTTGGTTTAATGGTCACACGGCTGCGGCGGGGCTGCTGGCATCCCATTCGGCACATAGGAGCACTGAGGCTTGTCCGCTGCCGCGAAGTGGGAAAGCAGAGCCAAGCCTGAGCCTCCAGACTCGGAGGCCCGCATGGGTGACCACTGGGCAAGACACCTTCCGACCAGCTTTGTCCTGTGGCCCCACAGTGACCAGGAACTGGGGGGACGGAGAGAGAATCGCTTTCAATCTCTACATTAATGTCATAACCAAATAGGGAGTGTTTCTTTGAGCGAGATGGTCTGCTGCTGGGGAGGGGAGGAGAGGAAACTGGAGAACACGTGGCCAAATGCGTGGAAATACGCACGTTGTCTCTTTGTTCTCTCCACAGCAACGCACTTTGAGTGGGAGACGACCAACTGCTTCACTTGGGGGATTACGGTGCAAAGAACTTCCTCCTTTCTTTACCCCAAGTGCAGGAAAGGCTGTCCCCACACCGAAGACGCCTCGGAGCGTCCAGAGCCGTCTCTAGCCCCCACGCCATCGCCCGCCTTCGCAAAGTCCTCCGGGTTCTCTGCCACTAATGCGACGTGTGCCCGCGTGGCAGGAGGTGGGTGGTGAGAGGTGCTCTGCTCCGTGTCTCATCAGGGCCTTTGCCACACACACGTGCGTCTCCCGCACGCATGGAAAGCCCTGCCTTCTTCGCCCCTCTCCCAGTCACTTCCACATTAATTAGTAAGGGTATCATTTTATAAATTACAACTTCGTATCAGAGGAAAGCAGAGTTTATCTTAATTCAGTCAGCTGTGCGAAATACAGTGCCCTAATTTTAGCCCGCCAGTGCTGCAGATCCCCGTGGAGTAAGAGAATGACAGGTCTTCCGGAGAGAAATCCCAGCGGGTCCCTACAAGTCTCACTCTTGCCTCCAACAGCGTCCCTGGTGAGGCTGTCGAAGGGGTCCCAGGACACCGAGTGGCATCTCTTCCCCCATTAGCAATTCCGATCCTCCGAGCAGCACATGAAAGCGGCCCCAGTTGGCTGTGGGGCTCGGAGGGGGCCCAGGCGAGAGGTTCTGGCACAGAGGAGGCTGACAGCGGCCCGGGCCCCAGCGCGCGGCAGAAGTCTGGGCGGATGGTGTGAACGTCGGTGATAAACACCAGACGATCTCAGTCCAAAAGGGGAAGCCTGACAGTCTTAACTGTGCCAGAGCCAAGCAGGCACGACTGCAATTACAGTCTTGATTGCTCCTGCTGGGAGCCCTCTGGGGGGAGACCGGGTGGCAGGGCAGGGACGGGTGATGGGAGCGCGGCTGTGCGGCAGCTCCGGGGGAGGAGGAGGTCCTGCCGCAATACCACGGGCCACCGGGCCGGACGACACCTCCCCTCGCTGGCCGGCGCCCGGCTCGTGTGCTCGCTGTACAATCTCTTCTCTCTCCTTTGTGGCCCCCCAGATGCCCCTGGCTCTGAGCGGTGCGGCCCTGGCTCCCTTCCCGCCGCCAGCGCTCTGAGCCGGAACCCGGGGCCGCGAGGACACGGGCCTTCAGGGCCCGGGGCGGGGTGGCTGGCTGGGATGCTGTCAGTGTGTAGGAAACGCCTGGGCCCCCAGAGCACTCTGAAAACCACAGACGGCTCCGGTAATTCTAGGAATCGCAGTCAGGTGAGGATCCCGACAAGAGGCACCAGACACCTGCTGAGGTTCGAGGTAACTGGGCTGGGACGAGGCCCAGGCATCAGGTGGTTTGCAGGTGCCCCCCACCCCGCCCCGGTGACCCGGCTGTGCATTCACGGTCGAGACGGCTGGTGCGGACACACCCACGCGCAACACACCACCAGACCACCTCCCTGCCTTCGCCCACGGCTGGCGCTTCGGGAATTCGTGCTGCCTTTTCAAGAACGCATGTCCTTTTGGACGTGAAACCCCGAAGAAGGCTCATCCCCTCGGAGAAGTGCCACCAGCTTGGAAGGTGGGATCAACTACCACCTTTAAAAGATCTCCTGGAAGGGCGAGGAAGTACGGGTACCAGGAAGTACCTGGGTGGCCGGGCCGCCTGACAGGACGACGGGAAGGCCGCCACGGGGAATGGGGCCTAGATGGCTCCAGGCCCAGGGAGCACGCCCGACCCTGGGCCTCCACTGCTGTCCATCGGCCTCCAGCGCCCACAGCACACCGGCTGCCCGAGGCACCGGGGGCCCCCTGCGAGGAGCTAAGACTCCAGGGGGCTGGAGGAAGGAAGCGCCTACTTGTCAGTTAAACAAAAGAATAAGCCACAGCCCCTCTGCAGTGTGTACTTTCACTGTCATCCAACAGCCCATTACCATGTCACAGCACAGCGCACCCTTCCATAGGTCACTTTGTTTAAAATGACACAGATAATGCACATGTCAGCAAGCTGACAGTCCGGGCCGTCCTTCAGAGATAAAAACCTCAAGGCGAGAGCCTGTTCTTATCTAGGGGACATGCATTGGTCTATCATCCAAGTCAGGCAGAACATGATTTCTCCAGAGAGCACTTTTTTCATTTCCTGATTTTAAGGAAATCAAATAAGCACCATTTGTCTTCATCTGAATATGCTTGACCTGCTCCAATGATGATGTCTCACATTTTATAACAGGCTACATGTGCTGAATTCAAATTAACGACAGGATGGAACAGGAGCCCTCAGAGCTCTCTCGGAGGCCGGAAGCAGAGGAGGAGGGAAATCCAGGGCTGGATGGCACGATGCCACCAAACACTGACGGCCTGATTCTGAGTAAAACCCACCAGCGAACGGGGGGCGGAAGGCGGAGGCCGGGGCTCGAGAAACCCAGCGAGACTCAGGACAGACCCAGAAACCAGCGGGGGGTTACGGGGCCCTTCCTTCCGATGCCAGGCAGTACGGAAACCGTGGTGTTCGGGGAACTCTTTCTGAAATACGTAAGGTAGGAATAAAATGAGGAAGATGTCTGGTTGGGGGCTGGGACAGCTAGAAAGAAAGACCAAACCATCCCTTTGCTTCAGGCACGGAAAAGTTCACTTTACCGGGTCATGCTCCGATCTTCTGAGAGCTCCATGTGGCCTGGATACACAGAGCCTGGAGGCCATCAGCCTTGCATGCACCTGCAAGAAGAACCGCCCTCCCACCTGGCCATCCCCACCCGAGCTCTCCTGCGCTCCCCCCTCACCCCATGACGACAGACCCAGAAACACACCATTCGTATTTCTATCAAGAAGGCCACGATGTATAGAAAAGCAGGAAGAAGCAGGGAGGCCAGTAAAAGAAATGGAGAAATGACATTATCAGTGCAGACTAGCACGTTTAATGTTCCAGTCAAGGATTAAAAAAGAAAAGTCAGATGGTTATCAAAATAGCTTCCTCTTTCAAAAATCTCTGAAGTGATCACTTGATGTTACATATACCCGATCTTAATGGGCACGTTTAAAAAAAAAATGGACCTCGTGAAGTAAATATGTTATTTCTTATCATAGGCAATGTCGCTGTGTAAACCCAACTGGTCTTGCAGAGCAGAAAAGCTGAGGTCAGTGCGGAGCTGGCATCCCACCACCCTGGGACTGGGTGCGAGAACCACAGTGCTCGACTGCGCCCACGATGGTGGGGCCGGCGGGGGGGGGTCTTACCTTCTCTTCCTGGTCACTGTCGCTGTCACACTGAAAAGAAAGACAAGAGAATAAGGGTTAGTGGAAACATTGAGCAGATTCTTGTTTTTTGATACAAAAAAAGACAAATAAAGGAATTAGGAAACGTTAGCTGAGCTGTACAGAGAGTTTCTTCCGCTCAAACACTCATAAACCAAATGAGAAGCAAAATTCAGAGAAGCTGCTGCGCTGGTCTCATCCAAGCCTGCGCTCCACGGTTCTGCTGGCGGCCTGTGGACACGGTCTGGCAAGGTGCCAGATCACAACGGTGAGCACCCCAGCACACGGGAGAGGGGGTGCCCACCGAGGAACCAGTCCAGCCGCAGGATCATTCAGTGGGATTCAGGGTCAGTCGATACCTTCAGAAGGAGACCTTCTACCCGCAGCTAACGTGAAAGGTTCTGCCTCTCCTGGTGCTTTTACCCAGAAGAGGAGGAAAACCTCTGGGTGCTGCATTTTCTCATGTGGACTCTGAAGGAAAGAGAACATAATGGGCAGAGCTCACCAGCTGTGATGGCTGCCTTTTCTAAGGCCCAGAAGAAAGAGGGAATGTTCTCTACAGAAAACATATCAAGGACAAGAGGAGGTCAGGGAAGTAAATCAATAATACGGGCAAAGAAGTACGTGTTAAGGCCGCAGACTTGCATCATACCTAACAGATCCCAAATTCCAACTGGTGAGCTCTGGAATAACCAGAGAATGAGTTAACTCCAAACTTTGGCTTCTTCATTAGATGTGAAGGGGAAACGATAAAAACCACGTTTTCTTTTTTAAACCAAGAGTGTTCGTTATCCGTCGGATCTTAAGAAGGGGGATGTGTTTTGTCGGAGCGAATGCACAGCAGGTCAATGTCTGCGCGCGAGCAGTCCTTGACAGGCACTGCTACGCAGACAGCTGTTCCACCGAGACACGGGACTGGCCCTAGAGCAGCTTTCAGGTTAGCAGTAGAGAGAAAGCTAGAACACAAACGCCGAGCAGAGGTGTGGTGTGGTGAGAGCCACAGTCCATCAGGACGACTCTCCCCACGGGGCGGAGGAGGACAGACCACGCGCTGTGGGGGAAGACATGGGTCAGGGGTGACCGGTCTGGCAACCGTGACGACACCGTCTAAACCAGCGTGACGCGTGATTGAAGAAAGGGAGGAACAGATGGCCCGGCAATTCTGAAGGTGGAACCAATAGGACGTGGTAACACATGGACATGAGAAACAAGGAAGAGGGGTGAGTCTAGGATGATGCCAAGGTTTTTAGTGTGGCCACCTGGACACGGGAGTTGGTGCAGCTACAGCCAGAAACAGAAAATAGATTCACTTATACAACAGCCACGACTGGCTGGATACCCAGTTATTCACAAACCCCTTCTCCCGGCATTTTTAGATTGAAGAAAGCCAGGTAGGCTCTCTTTTCCAACATTCCTGGCAGCCAAGGGTGGCCGCAAGACACACTCCTGGCTTAGACTTGAGGAGATGTCCGCTGAAGGCTCTGAAAAATTTTTCTCTCCTCAAAAAAAGAAGACAAGCAAGAAGCACTTGTCTCTTGCCTTTGAACATAGTTGTAGGAGGATGCAGTGATGTCCAGATCTGCGGCAGCCACCTTGCGAAAATGAGGCAGCAGAAAGTCCAAGTACAAAAACAAGATGGCGGTGGCCCAATGCAGACATTTGAATCAACCTAAGAGCAGCCTGACTCTGGACATTTGTGTTCAGATAAAAATGAGTTACCTTATCATTTAAACCACTGTTAGAGCGCTCTCAAATGCGAGTAACGACAACTCCATCCGAACGGACACCTTGCTGTCATAAGACATGACTGGGGGACTATTTCCTCTTTCCAGCTTACCGTCTCTGAACTTTGAGTATTTAGGAACTCACATCGCAAACTCATAGACTAGAAGGCTCTAACACTTTCTACCATCTGCACCGGCCCCTCCATGCCATAGGGCGATCAGAGTTTCAGTGACCGAGCTTCTACCAAGTACGACTGAATTGTGTTTGACCAGGCTTCCAAACTCAGATAGTCTAAGCTTACTTCTGTCTGACGAGCAATTTCTCTATTGTAATAAATCAAGAGGTGAGATGAAGACTTTGAAGACCTAGAACAACAGAGATGAAGTTCTCTTCTCCTCATTGTGTGATTCCCCCCCCCCCCCCCCCCGCCCCCACCATTGCCTTTAATTAGGGCTTCTTTGAGGTTCCTAAGTTCTGGGCACATTTTCAAGAGTGACAAAGCATGATTCAGAAGAGGGTGTGGGGAGGGGGGAGAAGTGTGTTTTGCCAGGCAGGTTCATCTTCCCAGATGTTCACAGCCGCCTTGTGAGGTAATCAGTGACAGCTGAGGGCTGTGGCCCAGCCCTTGCCCACGTACCCAAGGACTGGTGTGCAGGGGGTTGAGGAGTGGGGAAGCTGGGAAAGGGCCACCGCTGTCCACGCCCCCCACTGATCCTAACAGCAGTATGTCCCCAGGAATGGTTATTTGTATCAGAGTGTTAAGCCTTCTGCTTTCCAACAGTCCAGTTCTAATTTCAAGGTCCACTTAATTCCGCATCAAGTAATTACTGATATACCCAGAAGCACCTTGTCTCCAGAGTTAAGCATATGGTGAAGAACTGAGACCTACTGGTGTCCATTATGGAAGCAGCACGGGTGCCAAGCCGATTAAAAATGCTCCAGCTCCCCACACGACACGCCGGGTGAATGACAGCTCCTCGACGAGGCCAGTCGCAGAGTCTGCCAAAACAGGCTCTGCTGCGCGGGGGCCCACATGGTGCGCTGAGAAAACAGTTCCATTTCTGGTATTAAATTCCCATACTGACCCGAGGACTCTGCCGTGGGCTCAGCAGGAGCGAACCATCCAATTTACAGCTCTGCTCTCCGGAGCCTCGAGTGCCAGCCCCTGGCAGAGACGAATGATGGTCAACCCCTCCAGCTCATAAATTATGCAAAGGCAATAAACGCACTCCGCAAACAGCGCCTAACGCTCGCCCAGCCTGGCTCCCAACACGCTCCGTAAAAGCCAGAAGCTCGACACATGCAAGAGGTCCGCGCCACTCATAAAGGGGGTTTGTTGACAACCCCAGACGGAAAGCAAGCCATGGTCCTGAGGAGTCTTTCTGCCTCGCTGCTGGCCGTTTACGGGCCGGCTTTCTGAAAAAGCGGATGTTTTATGGAGTCGGTGCGGGCAGAAGTCAGGGTCTAAACTCACATTGAATATGCTGCGCGGCTTTCACGCCCTGAGCTCAGCACGTTGTGGATTTTAGGCCAAATGGTTCTAGGTCTTGCAAGGTCAAAGGAAGAAGTGTCTGCTCCCCGGTCCCCAGACACCTGCTCCAATTCATGGGGTTCCCTGCGAGCCACGTCCCGACTTGGGCGTCCGTTCTGCGGGAGGCCGAGAGGTGCAACGTCGAAGGTACAAACGGGGTCCCAGCTGATGGGACTGCTGGAAGCACGCTGACATCAGGGTCCCGCACTGGTGTCCTAGCGCACAGGTTGCAGGCTCACGACCAAGTCGAGGCGGCAGGGTACTCCCCAGGACCCGATTTCAAAGGCCTTTGTGAGACACTGAAAACATCTGCCTCCATTTCCAAAAGCCAGAAATGAAAAGGAACAAGTGGGCCTTCCAGGCCAGGCAGGGAAAAACTCCTGGTCGCCGCGTCTTCAGACAAATACGTGACCCAAACCCAGCACAGACAAGAGAGGGAAACAGGAGCACGAAATCCAAGCCACAGGCCTCAAAAGCCCGATTCAGAAACAGGCTAGTGCTGGAGCACAGTACGGCTGGCATGGGAAGCCATCCCCGCCAACGCCACCTTCACCTCTGTCTCCTCTGGGTTCACAAATTAGAAGGGAGATCCTAGGGCCAACTGCTTCCTTTTGGGCTTCCTTCCCGCCCTTTAAACATGTCAAACCCTCCCCCCACATACCCACCCAATATTTTCTCCTTTTAAAAATTAGTGTATATTTGGGGCGCCTGGGTGGCTCAGTGGGTTAAGCCTCTGCCTTCGGCTCAGGTCATGATCTCAGGGTCCTGGGATCGAGCCCCGCATCATGCTCTCTGCTCAGCGGGAGCCTGCTTCCTCCTCTCTCTCTGTCTGCCTCTCTGCCTACTTGTGATCTCTGTCTAATAAATAAATAAAATCTTTAAAAAAATTTTAAAAAATTAGTGTATATTTATTGAAGATAGTTTTAAGTCACCCATGAGCCTAGGTAAACAGCAGTACACCTGTAGAATTCCCTCCAGTCTTTCCTCTGTCCTTCTCACACACATTTTAAGAAATGAAAATAAATTTCTACTGTATTGTAGCCTACTCTGTTTTCACAAAATGTGTCAAATATTTTGTTTCATGACCGAAATTTGCCGTCACATCATTAAAAAAAAAAAAAAAGCAGTGGGTGTGATGCATAAACAATGAATCTTGGAACACTGAAAAAATAAAGTGAAATTTAAAAAAAAGAAAAAAAAAGAAATATATAATATAACTAGAGAAAAAAAAAGCGTGTGCTGTAATCCACTATATGGATTGTAACTAATCAAGTAAGAAAATTCCCCAGTGCTGTTATCTCGATCGTCTTGACTGAATGTTCTGGAAGGTTCCCCTCATACACACTCACCAATACCCCTCTTCCCTAGTATCTTCTCATGGCCCCTCCTCCTCTGCATATCCCTTAATGTCACCGTCTCCCCAGAGTTGAAACTGCAGTCCTACTGTTTCCCCGTGACTCCCAGGGGAGCCTTTAGAGATTCCCTTCGTCCCATCTACCATGTGTATGTCGACGCTACAGAATCCCCATGCCCACTGTCTGCCAGCTACGTGACTTGGGGAGAACTGTTTCAGTTCTCCGCATCTCAGTTTTCTTATCTGTAAAATGTGGGTAACAATGGCGTTGCCCTCAGAGGACGGTCAGAAGAAAACAAGCCAGCGCGTGTGAACGACTCAGACGACGTGTGGCAGAGAGTCAGGGCAAACAGTACATGTTGCGGGTTATCAACGTATGTCTTGTTGGCTGTGCCCCCTTCC